GCTGGGCATTCAAACATAAAGTGGCTTAGCTAAGGTTGTAGAGGAAAGAAGGATGGCCTGTCTCCCAATTCTGTGTCTTATTCACAAGACCATGCTTGCTTTCATCTTCATAGGTTTGTATTAGTCCATTTTATATACAAGAGCCTGGATTATCAGATAAATCTCTGTAGGATTTTTTTTTTCACTTTTCAAATGATAAATGGTATTTTTATAACTTCTTTACTTGCTTTCAGCATTTTAGTGATAACTACCTGATTGCTCTGGGTAATATAATATTTTGTTATTGCACCAAGTTCCCTCCCCAAACAAGTGTACACATTGGACCTCCCTGGTCTGGCACTGTTGGGGACGTGACCAGTCCCCAACAAGAGAATTTGCTGGACCAGGGAAGGAGTCCTCTGCCCCCTCTACTCCCTCCCCAGCAAGGCTGTCCGTTGTGTTGCTGCTGTCTCACCCCTGCTCTGGGCTGCCATGGATGGCTGGGTTTTCCAGGCCCCAGCACTGGCCTTGTGCTGCCATGGACAGCTAGGTTTCCCGGGCTCGACACTGCCACATGCTGCCGGGCTTCTATGGCACCCAGCGCCATGCTGCCATGGGCAGATGGGAACCTCCAACCTCTGGATCGTCACTATTGCAGGCAACCAAGGTTCTCCAGCCCCTCACTGCTGCATGCTGCCTGGGTTCTATCTCCCCAATGCCAGCCCAAGCACTGCTGTCGGGCTCCTCCAGCCCCACCGCCCCCAGTCCCGGCTGGGCTGCTGGCCCTCTTGCCATTAGGTTTCCGGGCTTTATTGTCCAGGAGCAACCATGGTCCTGCCAGACCATTGATGTTGCCGGACCAGAAAGTGCCAGATTTTAGAGGTGCAACCTGATATTGATGCTTCAAAAGCTGCTTTTTTGTACACCTGTATTCTGTTGATTGCAGCACTGTACACATATTTGCCTTATAGACTATTACTTCAGAAACAGCAGTAATCATCTGATAGTACCATTGCTATGGCTTATTGCTGGATCAGCAGACTGAATCTCTATGGGTGTGTCTAGACTACAGGGATTTTTTGAGAAAAGTGGCCTTTTTTCAAAAAATCTTTACCTGTGTCTAGACTGCCACCTCATTCTGTTGACAGTAAATCGAAAGAATGTGGTGGTTTTGTCGACAGTGGTAAACCTAGTTTTACAAGAAATAATGCTATTTTTGACAGAGATCTGTTGAAAAAGGGTATGTGTGGATGCGAGGAAGGTGTTTTTTAAAATAAACAAATAAATAAATAAAGGCCTTGTGACAGACGTGCGAGGGTCCGCACTGCCGAGGGGGAGGACTCCCCCTCCCCGGAGGCGGAGAAGGCAGGCCGGCATTGTGGCCGGCCGTGGCAGCCCCGATTCCCGGCTCAGTGGGGCCGCGGGTGAGTGGGGAAGCGGCGCAGCCCCGCCGCACGAGAGGCGGGGCCAAGTTACGCCGGCGCTTCCTGGTGTGAGGCGGGGAGAGCAGATGAGCCGGTGAACGCCGGGAAGCATCGTGGGCGGGGTCCCCGTCGTGCCACCCGACCCCACGGCACGGAATGATGCAAGGGGGGTGGGGCACTGTCACTTGGCGTCCACCCCCAGGCCGCTTGAGGGATGGATGCTTGGAGGAAGCGGCCCTGTCCTGGTGGAGAGAGGGAGGACCTGCCTCCGTGCTGGAGGAAACAGCGTGGGATCCGTGGGCCCCTGGAGCACCCAAGAGGACCAGAGACCGACCAAGCGAGTCTCACAGCTCCTGGAACATGGACTTCTGCATACGGAAGTTTCGGAGCAAAGTCTCGACATCCCACTGCTCCATAACAAGACGGTCCCACCAGTCTGAACTGGTGTCCAGCTTCCAAACTCGCCTCTCCAGGAATAAGTTAGGTGGCATGGGCAGTGGGGCTGCCACCCGAGTGAGGGGCTCAAAGCTGGGTTCTGAATCCGGATCTGCCACGAACATCATGATGGGCTCATGAAGATGCAGCAGAACTTCAAGCATCACTGTGGGGCCATCGCCTGCCCAAGTGCAGCTCCGGTTCCATGGCAAAAAAACCCAATTCAGAGCACAAAAACCAACCAGAAAACAAACTGCTGTGGTGTTCCAGAAAGCAGGGCACTCAAAGCAAGCACTGCAGAAGCTTTGCTGTCCCTCTAGGAGGTAGGCAAGCCAGCTGCAGGAGCAGAGGAATAGCTGTTCAGGGGGGGTCCCTTTAAACACGTGTCTCTGCAAAGAGCATGCTGCAGGATCTGGAAGTAAAGGCTGCCCCCTAACAGAAGTACTTCCAGGTGCCCTTTTTTCAACAGAGCATCCAGGCAGTCTGGTTGCTCTTTTTCAAAAAAGCAGATCGCTTTTTCGATCCGCTTAGTGCAATCTAGATGTGCTTGTCCGAAAGAGGCTTTTTCAAAAAAGCCTCTGTTGAAAAAAAGGCGTGTAGTCTAGATGTCCCCTATAATATGAGTCATTCCCCTTAATACCTAGACCCTACCACTGAATTCTCCTCTGACTCTCTCATCCTGCATAGCTCATGCATGGCCTCTCCCCTGGAAGGGAGTTAGACTCTTACTTAGGCTGTATTTACACTACCAATTACTTCTGTATAGTTTACATTATTCAGGGGTGTAAATAATCCACATCCCTGAGGGATGTAAATTATACCAATCTAATTGTCAGTGTAGATATCAGAAGACCTTCTCAAGCCAACATAGCTATCACCACTTACAGAGACAAGAGTTACAGTAAACTTGCGATAATCTGGCACCTTTAGGACCCAGGGGGTGCCGGATTATCAGATATGCCGGACTATCAGAAGGGGGAGCTATGAGGGGTCTGGGGTGGGGTGGGGGATGCTACCCCAGACCCCCTCATAGCCCTCCCTTCTGATAGTCCAGCTCTGCCCCAGGAGTCCCTGATTCAGCCGCTGCTGGTCAGTTTCAGCAGCAGCTGAATTGGGGGCGCCTGGGGCAGAGCAGCTGGGGTGCTGACGGGTTGGTCCAGTAGTGCCCAGAGCGGCGCTGCGGGACCAACCGGCAGTGCCCCAGCTGCTCC